TACCTTTTGTCCTGTTTAATCTCTTGTGGACTTGTGGTTGCATTTAATAGAGCTTTCCTATCTGCAGACACCAGCATTTACCTTTATCTCATCACATGATGAAAGTGTCTGGAACTTGGATGGAGAGATGTTTCAGGCGAGCGAGGTATCTGTCCAAGCTTGCCAGGGCCTTGTCAACCTCTTTGCTTCGGGGCCAGAGGTGTAGTAATGCTACTCGCAAGTTCCTTTTTGCATGAATGAAGGGAGATATGCCAAGAGTTCATATTTTTATCTAGGAGAGAGAGGTCCGTATTTAGACTTGTATGTTGTACACTCTTGACTCTTCTTTGTATTTTAGTAGAGACCTAGAATACTTTGTTGATAGATATACTGTTAGCTACCCATTTGTGCCATAGAATAGAGGAACAAAAAGTTTTGACTGAATTAATGAATTAAAAGGTTCTTCCTTTTCTTTTTTTCTGAGAAAAAATAATGAATTGAAGCGTATCCACATGTTTGAACAATTTCCAGTAATCCAATTAGAAATACCCTGCCATGGATCATGAATGATTTTGCATATGATATTCTCAAACTTTTGAAGGCCATTGTGCCTCGGAAAAGCATAGTCTGTCTCATGAGCTCTTATTCTCTGTTAGTGGGAAACCGGCTTACTTAGGCATGCCTAAGTTTCATCATTTCGGATTATAACTTCTGTTTATGATTTTACTTTCACTACAAATTAAATACAAAGTAGCGTGCTGGCCACATTTTTGCCTATACCCCCTCTGCCCTGAAATCTACTGAATTTTTGGTTAGTCAAACCATTCTAAGTTTAACCAAAATTATAGAAAAGAACAACGATATTTGTGATCTCAAATTAGTTTCATTAGATAAATGGAATGTATTTTTATAAATTCACCTCCTGAATACGGTAGATGTTACTACTCTTCTATACAAATTTGGTATAATTTAGGATGGTTTGACCTAGGACAGCTGAAAATCTATTATATCTCAGGATTGAGGAAATAAGTTAGACGGATGTGACAGGGGAGAGCCAGGCAAATAACTTCCGTTTTGTTGGAAGTCTAGAAGGCCAAATATGAGTGGAATCCGAGTCAATCACGACAGAGTGATGCAGAACTAGTGACTGACATGCGCCCTGCGCATATAAGACTAATGTGTCAAAAGACATATCTGTATGTTTGCTTGTAGCAAGAACTATGGTAACAAAGAGGAGATATGGCGTGTTGTTATACAGATAGGTAGGTTGCTATCCATGGAAAGGAACATTGATAGGTAGCCAACATTGTCGAGGAACCCTATTATGGAGTAGTGTGGTAATTTTGTCTAATATTTTTTCTGCGCAGGTTCAGATCTGCGGTTTCTTGTATCACTTTTTCTGTGTTGTGTTGAACATGTGGTGCTTTGTTTCCAGTGACCTTCATGTATTATGAGCGAGACAGATTAGAAAGGTAAGAGAAATTAGTGCGTTACTTAGTGGATTTAGTTGAAGTCGGATTGTTAGGTTCAGAGCCGTTTTTATCTCAGTAGCATATGTATGGGTATACTAAGTGTGTTGCAGCTGCAAGTAGCTAAGCTATCAGAGCTTTGTGCAGAATAAATTATCTTGGATCATTGGTAATGGGATTTTACTCTGAAATGAATTCAATAGGCTTATGTTTGAAGGAAAGAAAAGTATAATAATGTAAAACTGTAATAATAGTTCATTGTTGATGAAAAACTATTTATAGAAATGTATGCAACATAAATTTACATGGAAATCAATGTAATATATATTTTTCAAATAAAGTAAATGATAATGATGTATTAACAATATCTTGTTGGAAAGAGGTTATTGATAAGAATGTAGTGTACCTGAATTTCTGTTTGTTGTCTTCAAGCAGTTTGGTCAAAAGGAAAGAATTTAGTTTAAGTGTAGCACTATATTCTATCCGGACCAAGATCAAGCTTTTGTATATAAGAATAAGAAGGAATCTGGTGGAGGAAATATAACTATAGCGAGGAAACTATCTATTTGAAACTTTTCGCCTCGAATAGAGATTACTTGTTTCTGTACCATTTTCATCGTCTTGAAGAAGAAGATTGTTTGGCAAATGGTTGAAATAGTATACTTGAGCCGTCATTTGTCCAGATAGCGTCCTCTGCTGCCAGGAGGCTGAATACTTAGTTTAAGACGGCAATGATAAAGCTTTTAATTTTTGTACGGGGTGTTAGGGTGTATCCCTTAAGGTGTTTTAGGTAATGTAATATGACTGTTCAGGTTAGCAGTGATGTGAGATGTGAGTGATGTTAGATGTCCAAAATGTAAGATCGGAGAGACTGGGTGAACTCATAGGACTATAGGAGTGTGACTGCGCCAAATTGTTCATCTATTTTTTTTGCGATGCTAGGGTGTGTTTGGTACAACTTTTGGATCAGCTTCACAAAGTTGTTTTCAGCTTCTCTTATCAAACAAGTCCTAATGAAACAACTTCTCTTTAAAAGTTGTGTTTCAGCTTGCTTGCTCTCTTTGCTATCTTTCCAGAGAAGTTTTTTACCAATTTTTTTTTTAAATGGCTTTAGCTTTACTGGTGAAGCTGCTTTATGAAACCAAAGAAAAAAAAATGAGCTCAGTTGTACCAACCAGGCCCTTAAGACAGTGTACCTTTTGAGATGCTATAATATGTACTTGACTGATTATTATGGCAAAATTACTATTGTTGGTAGGATAGGAACGCATCCGGTTGGGAAAAATGGAAAATATTCCAAAGTCTATGTGAGTTCTTTACCTATCAACTGTAGGAGAATTGCGTTATCAATTGTAATGGTTTTGCAACGTTGATCATGATGTTCAAGTGACAAGGAGGGGCATTATTATTCAGCCTACGCTGTATTTTTTTTTTTACTTTAGGAAATCAATATGTGCACAAACACTTGCCTGCTTCTCACCATGTGAGACAATGAGGTAAACCCAAAGAATAGAAGCATAAAACAAACATGGTAGAGTAAGCAACAAATATTGCAATAATGAGAAAGTCATGCGCTTGTCGAACACACGACTCAATTCCTTGTGAACACAAAAAAGAGAGATTAGCACAATTATATCTAGAAGGATGTGAACACAAAAAAAAAAAGATCAACACATCAATATCTAGATGGATACTTTAGACTTCTAGCCGCCAACTTAAAAAAAGAAAATAGTACTATGAGGATTAGAAAATCTAAGATGCACCATGTGAAATTTCTTTAACCTAGGATATCTTAGAATTAGACCAGCGTAAAGTAAAACAGAGGTGTATATATAAGGATCTAGGTAAATGAAGAAGAGGTACCATGTAAAATTTCTTTAACCTCTTTGCTTCTAATTTCTTTTTGTCAACTACGATTAACTGTTATCATATAAGGAAGAGAACACTTAGCACAGTGGTAGTGCTTTGGCATAGCTAATTGGTAACCACAACGCTGTTACTGCCTCTAACATTGCATCTACCATCCTATTCCGAATCGTCACAATGCCCCTGTATGGAAAGAATGAATAGTTTCGTTATTGTAAATAAAAAAGTGAGGAGTAAAAAGAGTTTGCTATCTAGTATTAAATCTAGCAACTATTTTGAGGAAAATCCTATATAATTTTATGCTGAATTTGATTAATACGAAGTTAGTCATGTCATAGTATTTCATTGCATTCAATAAATTTAAAGCATAAAGTTGAATACACTACCACCTAACATCGTCGATATTTTATAGCGATAGTACACCCCTCTTATCCAAGAGCAGCTCCAGTATTGAGTTGAAATTGAACCATGGCAAACGAATTTGAACACACCACACTATGAACATCGACTGGTACCTGTCAGATGCAAAATTGGACCCCCAAACTTGAGTCGAACTCAGGGAATTAAAATATTTGCTCGCCAATGCATCCAAGGCCTAGCGATACAACGTCACAGGAAGAGAGAGTATTTTTTTTTATTGTTTCTAGGTACTATAGGCCGATGCACACACTTCTGCTTGCCGAACTCTGTTTCCATTCGCTTCTTGGTTCGACATGCCACTGTGAATGCCCTAAGCACAATCTACGAATATTTTTAAACGAGGTAGCTAATAGGTCAGCTAACTATTAGTTAGAGAATTCAAACGAGGCTCAGCCAATAGATCAACAATAAGCTCACTAACAATTAGTAGCTACAGTACCTAACTCAAACAGGCCCTGAGACTCAGAGACCCATGATGTGGAGTGATGAAGAAAGATGGCGCCTCTACAAGCGGAGAATCATTGGCACCGGTACGTGGAATTGTGGATATCTGCTGGAGCAAGACAAAGCGGCCGGCGTGACGGTCAGACTGCGGTTGTCGGTGCGGCGTGCCGGGGCCGTCAAGTGATCATGTGTGTGTTTTGCCAAACGAATCCGCGTGGGGCGGCCGCGGGACCCTGCCTCGCCGTCGTGTCTTGTGTCGCTTTGTTCCACTGCAAGTCTGCATCTTTTTCTTTCTTTTCTTGTTCCCTGCTCTCGAGGACGCATCATTGATCATTGCCTTTTGCCATGGACACAGCAACTCACCGGCTGGATACACGAAAAACACAAAGACACCATATTGTGGTTTCTGAATTCATTAACAAGATCTGCATGCAGTCGGTCATCTGGTTTGATCCGGACTGTCAACCGTGGCGTGTGATGTGATTATACCAAAGTGGTCTCGCGGCCGCCGGCCGGCAAGCCAGCCGGCAGCCTTTCAAACCAAAACCACGCTGCATCATCGTCTTCCCTCCCTGCTCCACCTCCACTGTTGCTTTGCAGCCAAGCCTCGTCTCGGGCACCGCGTGCTTATCTCCTCGCCACAAAGCAAGGAATCCAAAGCAAAGGCAACAACGGCCAAGTTAGCAGCTAGGGTTACAGCCAAAACACGGCGATCGATCCCAAAATCACAACCCAAGAACGGGAAGCGTGCATGCGCACGCACACGCACAAACCTGCTGAGCTCTAGCTCCCTCGCTCTCTCCCTCTCCCTCCCCGCGCGCAATGGCCAGCGTAGCCCCAAGTCCCACGCAAACCAGCCATGTCTCACGGCCGACGATCCCTAGAGGCCTCGTGCCCGTGGCCGTGCTTCTCGCCGCCGCCGTAGGCCTCCTCGCGCTGCTGCCGTCGCTGGCCCAGGCGGTGTGGGAGGTGCCGCACCTCTTCCTCCTAGGCGCCGTCATCTCCTTCGGCGTCTTCACGCAGAGGAACAACGCCGCCGCCGGCGGCAGTGCCAATAATAATGCCGCCAGCGCCAAGGACAGCTCGCTGGCGTGGAACGCGCGGTACCACCCCGACGACCCCCTCGTCGTGATCGCGGATCATCACGCGGTGCCGAGCGACGACGACGACGGCGACGACGGGCTGGAAGGCGCACGGGAGAGGCCGCTTTCCCTGCCGGTGCGGAGGCTGAAGCCTGCGGCTGCGGCGCAGGAGTCCGAAACCGTCGGCGACGCCAGCTATGATGGTTTGGGCGAAGAGACGGATAGCTGTGCGTCGTCGTCAGGGTTTTGGGCCGGCGCGCGCGCCGTCCCTTCGCCGCCCTCTGTTCTCGACGCCGACCTGGACTTTTCTCCGTGCTCACAGCCACAGTCTGAACGGCCGTTCTTTGTCCAACACAGCGCCAACAAGTCCCGTGGTGCGTCCAATGCCGTGACGGAGACGGCGCCCACGGTCCCGAGGGGCTTCGTCCAGGGGTACCAGTACCATCCTTCGGTGCCCGGCGACCAGCCGTTGAGCGACGACGGCGAGGTTACCGACTGGGATGAGGACGCCGCCGACGGGTCCGATGAGATGACACCCGTGTCGTCGTCGGAAACGTCGGTCCGTGGCGACTTCGCCGCTTGTGCCAGTGACCACAACGACGGCGACGGCGACGACACGTCTGTGGATGAAGAGCTTTTGAAGCTGGCGGCGAAGGCGGGGCCGGACGGGGAGGAGGAAGTGGACAGGAAGGCCGACGAGTTCATCGCCAAGTTCAGGGAGCAGATCAGGCTCCAGAGGCACTAGCTGGCCATGCATGGCGTGCATACAGCATACATGGATCCATGCATGCTCTGCTAGAGCATGCACCGACACACATAAATACCACTGCTGGTCCACCACCAATGGCGAGCGCAGCAGTAGTTCGTTCATCTATGACACCATGTTTCCTGTATCATTTTATTGTTTTTTTTTGGTTGCTCCGATGCAACAAGGAGCCGGAAACAAGGTGTACATATATGAATGCATATTGAGCACTGCCTTTTTCAGTGCATTTCTGGCCATGTTTAGATTGCAAAAAATTTCAACCCGATGAATAGTAGCACTTTCGTCTTATTTGGTAAATATTGTCCAATCGTGGACCAACTAAGCTCAAAAGATTCATCTCGTGATTTCCAACTAAATTGTGCAATTAGTTATTTTTTTATCTATATTTAATGCTCCATGCAAACGGCTAAAAATTGATGTGATGGAGAGAGAGTGAAAAAACTTGAAATTTTGAGGGTATCTAAACAAGGCCTCTATAGATTTCTCGTATGCCCGCCAGTGCCAGATATGACAGCGTGTCTGGCAGTTGGGAGGAGTTAGGATGAACAGAAATCGTCCTGGAGCAAAATCTTTGCGATTTCGCTGGAACAGTCCGCACGGCGTGCACAAGCACAGCTCGTCAGAGTCTTCTGATGCATGCATGCAGCGATGCAGGAAATCGATGAAATGAATGAATGTTCTGAGGAAAATCCCAGCAAACGCCACCAAACGCTGAAAAGGACTTGTCCGGGCCAAGCATGCATGGTGATTTCTTCCAACTCCCAAAGGCTTGTCGCTTGTATACCAAGCATCATTGCTGGAAGTATTTTCGATCAATGAATGAACGGTGGCTGTGTTTGTAGGCTTGTAGGCGTCGTGCTTGAGAAAGAGCGTGACCTTCCAACAGCAGCGTGAAAAAGCACGTTTGTGTTTTTGTGTCCATCGGTGTGCTGTGCCTAAACATCGAGCTAGCGGTTATCAAGAAACAGCTGGAACACCGAACGACCACCTCTATAATGTCTCGTCTGGCACGTACGTCTTCACTGAGCAGTGTAAACACGTGTTGTTCCTAGTGAAGCCATGGAAGTGGTGGTTCAACGAGAGTACTCGTAGAGTCGTACGTACGTACGTGTGCAATCACGCATCACAAACGATGAGAGTCGTCAAGACGGATCGAGATTATCGTCACTGAAATAGGTTAAGACCATCGGCAGAATAAGACCGAACTGTCCTTGAGAGAAGTAATTGCACGAAGATCTCCGTGCTTTGTACTGCTCCCTAGTACAGCAGCAGTAATGACTAGTGAACCACTCCGTCAATTTTTAATGCACCACCAGAGACTTCAGTTGACGAGAGCACAGTACAGTACAGTACAGTGCCCCTCCCTAGCCATGCAGGTTCCAGTCGGTGACGGTTCCCCAGAATCTATCACATCCAGGCCGTTAACCTTCGATCCAACAGCCATTGACCACGAAGTTCCTGTGGATCCCTCTGCCACTTCCTTACACCGAGGGAAAGCCCGGCAGGCGGCAGCCAACCAACGCCGGGACGGGAGGGACCAGCCCCCGCCGTCCATCTGCGCGCGTCCTGTTTCCGGCACCAGCAGCCCAGACCCAAGGTACGTACGTACCGCCGCGATGGATATAGGATACCTTCCGTCCGCTGGTCCCGTTCCGGCACGCACGCCCTTACCCCCAACCCCAACTGCCGCCGTGGCCCGTGTCGGCCCGGCGTGCCAAATTTCAACGGGAAAAAAGCGGCAAAAAGCTCCGCGAAATGTGCCCACTAAACAAACACCTCCAAAGGGAAAAGGCCAATCCCTCGTCAAAGAAAAAGCGGCCAACAAGCCGGAAGCTACCCTCTCCCCGCACGCCGCACTCCCGCAGCCTCATCATCAGTCGCACAGTCACACAGTGATAAAAGCCTCGAGCGAGCCGAGGCTCTCACAAGACAGCCAGCCACGCACCTCCGCCCCGCCCGTAGGACAGCCAGCTCACCAGGCCCTGCCTGCTTGCTAGTCCTCCTTCCTTTGCCTTCCCTCAGCGCGAGGAGAAAAGCAACTCAGCGGAGCACGGCAAAGCAAACCAAGAGCTCGCGTTGCCGTGCCTAGCTACCTTCGCCACGACGAACCTGACCTGAGAGCGCGGCGACCGATCGACCACCCCCACCGGCGCGCCGAGCGCGTTTATTTTCCCGCGAGAGCCGGACGCGCGAGATGGAGATGGCGGGGGCGGCCGAGGCGGACACGCCGTCGAAGGAGCCGGTGCGCACGGGGCGGAGCAACACCATCCTGCTCCCCATCGTCGGCATCCTCTTCGCCTACCTTCTCTACCGCTTCCTCCGCCCGCGCCTCCGCGGCCTGCGCCTCGACCGCTATCTCCCGTCGGGCGTCCGCCTGCCCGCCTGGCTCCGCCGCCGCGCGCCCAGCGGGAGCACCGTGCTGCCCTACTTCGCGCCCATCGCCGACCGCCTCGGCGCGCTCCCCTACCTCGGCCCCTTCGCCGACCGCCTCGGCGTCGGCCCGCACGGCGGCCACGGCGCCGCCCAGCAGGCGCTCGTCAAGTTCCCCGGCGGGGAGGCGCTGTCGGTGGCCGCCATCCTCGAGGCGCCCGGGGAGGTGGTCGCCAAGTCCGCGCACAGCACGCTGTACCGCGCCGCCATGCGCTCCGGGGAGGCCGCCGTGCTGCTCCGGTTCGTGCGCCCCGCGTGTGCCGTCGCCGCCGACGAGGCCTACGCCGCCGCGCGCCGGATCGGCGCCGTCAGCCACCCGAACCTCGTGCCGCTCCGCGCGGTGTACGTCGGCCCCAGGGGCGAGAAGCTGCTCGTGCACCCCTTCTACGCCGCCGGCTCGCTCCACCGCTTCTTGCAAGGTTGGTTACGTTTTGCATTCTTCTTGGCTGCTTCTTCCTAGTCTCGCCTACATTTGCAGTTCAACCAGTTATTTTTTTCAGCAGTTAATCAGTTATGCTAAATTCCATTTCAAACACGAGACTTAGTACTTTTTTTTTGGTTGCTTTATCGTTGGTTAGATGTGGGGGTCATCAGGTCAATTATTGTCGACAGGTTTGATACTGAACCTGTACTTTTAGCAAGATCATCTCAGGCCACCGTCAAAATAAGATCTCGGGTCTGCACTCCACGATGCTGTAGCACATTATACGAGTACCAGCATACACACCACATGTGGCCCTGTTCGTCGTACTATTTCAGCGAAGTTTCAGCCATGCTTTTCAGCGAAGCGAACATGCCGCTGGGGGTGTATGATACACATATCCCAGCTGTTTGCATTGCAGTCTTGCCGCATGCAGCTCAAAGTCCTTTAAAAGTTTAGTTCGACTGAAGTAAATTGAAAGGGTCAACTCAAATGAGTTGAAAATGGACCTGGATATTGGTGGCAAGCTTAAACTGATTTGTTAAATTTCATAATCTGACGTTGTTATATTCGTTTGTCTTATAAGTCATACTTTTTCGTACTTCTTCGGTAATGGATAGTATTTTTTTTGTCGCGACAAATCAGCCAGAGCCATGGCTTAAGAGGTAAGCGAGCCCTAAAATGCACACGAGAACCGAGGGCTCTGAAATGGTACGTATGCTCATATATTTTTTTTCTCCATAGAGTGGAAAGTGTCGTGGCATTGCTAAATTAAATTTATAGTACAAAGCAGATCAATTCTCAAAAAGCAGGGCACCTAGGGCGCGTTTATTTCGGCACTTTTTGGGTGGGGCCACATGTGTTCAGAGCATCAATTATATGCAACATCAAATCAACTTTGGGAAAACCTTTTCTGCTTTGCTGTCAGCTCGAAACTTCGGATGGGTCCGGTCCTGATGCCATGATTTCGCTCCTGTTGTTTGTTGAGAGTTGTTAGATCAAAAGCCTTTAAAATTCCAAAAATTTTTTCTTTTTTATAGTGCACTTTTGGAGGGTCTAGTAGTTCTTACTTTCTTTTTGGGTGGGGCCACATGTGTTCAGAGCATCAATTATATGCAACATCAAATCAACTTTGGGAAAACCTTTTCTGCTTTGCTGTCAGCTCGAAACTTCGGATGGGTCCGGTCCTGATGCCATGTTCCTCGCTCCTGTTGTTTGTTAAGAGTTGTTAGATTAAAGTGGAGTGCTTCTCTAGCGACGGAGTAGATTTAAACAGTCTGCACTAAAGTTTGTGCGTATTTGTCATCTGCATGGGTTGCTGAATCACAATTTTCTACGGGATATGATGATCTGCGATCTAGCTTATGAACACTTCATAAACCAATTGATCCTCTGAACATCCTTTTGGTATCAGTTGTGACAGTATCTAATTGCTTTGTTGCTATCATTTACAGAGGGAATCGCGGAGTCGCATAGATGGAACATAGTTTGCAATCTTTCTCTTGGCATTGCCAAGGGACTGGATCACCTGCACACAGGCTTGGACAAACCGATGGTCCACGGCAACCTCAAGACGAGCAACGTTCTTCTCGACGCCAGCTACGAGTGTAAGATATCGGACTACAGCCTCTACCTCCTGCTGAACCCTGCCGCTGCCCAGGAGATGCTCGAGGCCTCGGCGGCGCAGGGGTACAAGGCACCCGAGCTGATCAAGATGCGGGACGCCACACGCGAGAGCGACGTCTACAGCCTCGGAGTGGTTCTGCTCGAGCTGCTCGCGCAGAAGGAGCCCGAGGGCGCGGACGACGGCCGGCCGAACCCGCGGGACATCCTCCTCCCGGCCTCCTTCAAGAACCTGGTCCTGGAGCGGAAGATCTCCGACGCGTTCAGCTCTGACCTCGCCAGGCACTGCAAGAGGTCCGGGAAGGAGAAGCACCTGAACGCGTTCTTCGAGCTCGCCACCGCCTGCTGCAGCCCGTCGCCGTCGTTGAGACCCAACACGAGGCAGATTCTCAAGAGGCTCGAGGAGATCGCGAGATGAGATGGATGGATGTGTGAGTACTGAGTTGGTCTGGCAACTTGTTGCTACTTAATCAGCATTGCTCTCTGTTGCAGCATACCGTTGATCTGGGAAGCGTCCTGCCCCCAAGCTAAATGAACAACGTATTTTGTGGTGGGCGGTCGATTGGGGAATGGATACAAGTTTTCACATCCAGGAACCTGTACTGTACAGTTTCAGTTTCACCGAGATGCAGAGGTGGTCATCAGAAAATATACAGGATGTGCTTTCGGTGCATGAGCATCAGTGCTAGACTGTGTTTCTTTGTGTTTTATTTATCCTGAAAGTTGGAGATGTACAATCGTAGAGTACCTGCCCTGAAGATTTGTAAAAGACTGTTAGTTTAAAGGTACGTGTTGTATTTCCATACATTCAGAGAAATCTCCATGTGGTGGAATGTTCTCTTGCAGACGCGTATAACAATGTACTCCTAACATGGTATTTGTCGTCGACGTCGTGATACTGCCATGCTCGCGGTGCCATGTGTATGCGACGCATACTGACAACCAAAGCGAGTGATTGATTGATTCACCCGCAGTGGAGTCTTTGGAACCTTTCCAGGGTTGGTGATTTGTCCTTATCACTTAACCATACTTCACTCTCATCCCCTGTAATCAAGCGATGAAGATCCGCTAGCTCTTGACTTGTTTCGATAGCCTGGCGCGGTGGTATCTTGTCAAGAAATAAGAAGAATCTTAGGTGTAGGTGACATCCTAGATCTCCCATTCGAGGCCTCAAACCGATCGCATTTCTTTAGCTGACACTGACAGCCGCGCACATCCGAGCGTGTCACACCTATGCTAAGAAGGTATGCCGACATTTTCTCATATGCGCATTTCATTGAGAACACGCCGGATAAACCAGAAACACATCTGCAGCAAAAAGAGGAAGTCTCGGTGCCGACAGTAATACCCAACCACCTCAGTGTCAGGATCAGGCAGGTGAAGACGTGGAGTGGTGAACCCTTGGTCGACACCGAGTTTTCACCAGGTAGCGGCGGCATCCCATTCATTCACAGGACGGGACCAGACCGTCTCGGCGCAAACGGCAAAACCAAACGCAAAAGAGGCCGCAGCACGTGAAGCAGACCTGTCCCAGCGCTGCAGAGGCCTTGGAGCACCACCAGCAAATGACCGGACCATGTAAGATTGATCTCCTAATCAATAAGCCCAACGGTCTATTAGATCTTGGTCACGCGTCCTGATCGGGGGTGCCCAACCCGTACGGTTGGTGGGCCGTCGTCAAGGCTTATATAAAGAGGTTTCAAGCACGCGAGGTTTGCCGTGAGCCGCAAACCCCACCGACAAACCCCTAATTTCGATCTCGAAGAGGGTGCGCGATAACGACGGAAGCCGCCACCGTCATCACCGTCATCCTGTCGCCATCGCTGCACCGCATCACCGCTTCCATCTGCGTCGCCTCTCTTCACCGACCGTCACGCTGCGCGTCATTGACCTACATCGACGAACCCGATGGAGGCTCTTTGGATCCTCCACCCCTTCGGTCTCGTGTTGGTACCCTTCCCTTTCTCTCCTGTCTCTCTGTGAGACCGTTCTACATGTCCTAGGATCTACCGTCTTACATGTTATACCGAATAGAAACGGTCAAAGGCTAGATCTATGATTCTCTGATTTTAACAATGGTACGAGCCGTGTTTAGGTATAGATATGGCTAGGGTTTGGATCTAGAAAGTAGAAAGGGGCTTTACCGACAAAGGGTTGGTTGAACCCTAACTTCGATCTTTTCGGATCCGAGAAAAGTCTTTGATTCGGATGAATGAAACCCAAACCCTAACCCTAGATCGTGCGGGCTAGATCAAGTCGGAAGCTTGATTTGAGACACGGTCTCAACAAAGAACCCTAACCCTAGCAGATTCGCCGGTCTAGGGTTTAGATCTAGGTTTTTTCGAATCAACAAAGAACGAAAACCGAATGAAAAGAAAAGTGGAGTTCGAATGCGATTCGGATCCAAATAGAACCAAACCCTAACCCTAAAGATAGGGAGCCTACAGGCTTTCTTCACCACTGGCATGGCATCGCCACCGCATGTGGAAAAAGAACCACCTGGCGTCGCTCCCGAATTTGGAGACGAGGCAGAGACCAAGATCGCACCTCGCATGTGCTGGATCACGGCAACAGAGGCACCACCAAGCGGCCCCTCGACGGCGGCGGCGTGCTCGGCCCTCGGGCGAGCACGCACGTCGAGAGGAGCGCTGGCGGAGCTCCCTCTTCTTCTCCCTCGCCACCGAGCATGGTCATTGTATATTCGGGTTGTCTCTCCGACTGCTGTGTGCTGCGCGAGAGAGAAAGGGAGGGAAAGAATGGTCTAGGGTTTTCGAAGGCGGCGGCCGGGCGGGGTTTTCATCGGCCAAAACGAGGAGGTCGATCGGGCGATCGACGCCAGCACCAGTGGCCGGATTAGGCCCAGGCGGGTGGCTAGTTTCGCCCAGCCCGAGTTGCGGCTTGGGCGCGGAGGCGGCAGCGAGCGTGAGTCGGTGTGGGCTCTCTTTGGGCGCTTGTAGCGTTAAGCGAGCTCGGCTGCCAATATGGTTTTGGCTATCTATAGAAATGAGCAAATAAACGATAATTTTCTTATTTTCGAGAAAACAATTTGATGCATATTAGATGAATCTGAATTGTATTTTGATGCAAATTTCGTACAAAATTTATCCAACGATATTTTTTATTAAGAATAGTATAGTAAAGTTTACGGAAAATAGAATTAAAAGATTTATTAAAGTTTTCATTGCGTATTTAAAGTAATTATGGACTTTTAATTAAATTGAACCAACGGGAGAATTTGATTTTAAAGCCAAGAGATAAATATGAGTTAATTATGATATTGTTATTTCGATAACGTTGTTAATAGCAATATTATAATGATTATGCATTATTTCTATTTACGCTAGCAGCGGTGATGTAGATTTAATGTATAAAATAATTGTATGTTTTAATCTTGACCAACGTTAAACTAAGGCATGCAATTATTGTTGTTATTTCTGTTCTCACACTATTTGAATTGTGTTTTCAGGAGGATACAACTTAATGAGTTGTATCAAAGAGATCCCCACTCTAAAAGGTGATAACTATAATGAGTGGAAGAAAAAGATAGACCTGGCCTTCATCCTCATTTGAGGTGGATCAAGTCTACATTGAGAACACGTGGCACCGGTGAGGGAGACTGATGAGGACCGATCTTTGCATGGCGAGAATAGAGAGCGGGATTTTGCTCCCGTAAAGATGTCCTATGACCTTGAGCATAGGAAATGGGTCACTGCCAACAAGAAGTGTTTGGCAATGATAAAGAACACGATTGAGCCTGCTATTATGGGCTCAATTCTAGACTGTGACACGGTCACAGAGTACCTAGAAAGAATAAAGAGTCAGTTCACTGGCTCTTCAAAGACATATGCAACCCAGCTGATCAAGCAGCTGGTTATAGAAAGGTACTCTGGTGGCGGCAGTGACATTAGAGAGCACATACTGAGAATGAGCAATCTGGCATCTAAGCTCAAACCAATGGATTTGGCACTCAAGGATGAGTTTCTTATTCATTTGATTTTTGCTTCTTTGCCCAAAGAATTTGACACCTTTGTTGTTAATTACAACATACAGCCTGAAAAATGGGATTTAGAAAAGCTCATAGCCATGTGTGTGCAGGAGGAGGAAAGAATAAAAGTTTCGCAAGGTGGTTCTGTCAACTACCTAAAAGATAAGAAAAAGAACTATTATAACAGCTCTTCCTCCAAGTCATCTAGAAAAGGTCCCATGCAACAGTCTTAGAACCAAGAATTTCGGTGGCTAAAGACCAAAGGTGTCTCCTTTGCAAGAAGACAGGACATTATAAAAAGAAGCTGCCCCGATTTCCTAAAGATGATAATGAAGAATAAAGGTGAGAACATTATTACGTTCGTAAACGAATCCTTGTATGTAAAGTTTTCAAAATCTACTTGGTGGATTGATTCAGGTGCAACTATTCATGTTGCTAATTCATTATAGGGATTCCGTTCGATGAGAACTTTGCAAAGAAGCGAAAGTTTCATTAAAGTCGCAAATGGAGTACAAGCAGATGTTGAGGCCGTTGGAGATCTTCCTCTAGAGCTTCCAGATGGCTTTATACTTTTCTTAGAGATGTTCTTTATGTACCTTCTTTGCAAAAGAAACACGATTAGTGTATCAAAGTTGGACCATGATGGTTATGATTGCCATTTTGGAAATGGCAAATGTCAGATATTGTTTAATAATAAATGTGTTGGTCTTGCCTTCCGACAAGACGAGCTTTATTTGTTATCACTTCGTGAAAATGTGAATTCCGTATGTGATGTGAATGAAAATGTATCCTCATCGAACAATGGAAACAGAAAACGAAAGAGAGCTCACGATGCGTTGTCGAAATTATGGCACTGTCGTTTAGGCCATATTTCGAGGGGGAGAATAGAAAGACTAGTTAAGAATAATATTCTTCCTTCATTAGAGCTCTCAGAGTTAGAATAATGTAGAGATTGCATAAAAGGAAAGTATGTAAAGAAAATTAAGAAAGATGCCAAACGAAGCGCAAGAATTCTACAGATTATTCACACAGACATATGTGGTCCTTTTCCTATGAAAAGTGTGGATGGTTATGATTCATTCATAACATTCACAGACGATTACTCTCGTTTTGGCTATATTTATCCAATTAAAGAAAAGAATGAAGCGTTGGATAAATTCAAAATATTTAAAGCGAAGTTGAAAATCAGCATGATTTAAAGATTAAGATAGTCGAGTCGACCGTGGAGGAGAGTACTACGGTCGGTATACCCCATATGGACAAGTTCACGGACCTTTTGCAAGGTTCTTACAGGAGAATGGTATAGTCGTCAAAGATTCAACACCAGGCGAACCTCGATGAGAATGGAGTAGTGAAAGGCGAATGTGCACTCGATGGATATGGTGCGTAGTATGATAAGTTACTCCACTTTACCGATGAGTCGTGGATGAGGC